ACCGCTTAGAGAGGGCTGAAAGCCCTATGAAGTGGCATATAAGTCTAACTGCTATTGCTATTGCTATTAGTACCTATCTCCCAACCAATTCTCCAACAAAGGAACAAAAATTTGGGAAGGGTGAGGATTTAGCATTACAGAGACACAACTGGAGTCCAGAACCATAAAATACCTTCATACTCTATAGGTTGTCCTGGGGGAGCTGACAAGAAGTCAAAAGTCATGTTCACGTTAGGTCCTTGCTTAATGATCCACGTGGTCCTAGTTTAACAATGGCAATCAGGACTGTTGAAATTGCCATTGGTAAATAATGCAGTCACATGACATTGCCCTCTACGACCCCATTATTTAACAAGGGAGTTCCCAGTTCAAATTGCTGTTGTAACCTGAGGGCTACCCATACAACAGGACTGCATGAAATTCAGAAAATAATCCCAAACGGTATCATTAAATGATTTTTTTTTTTACCTTAAGAGGATGGAAAATTCATTCATTTGTTTTAGTAATTTTTATTAAAAAAAATAGCAAAATAAAAGCTGTAAGGAAAAATAAAATAACAAAGGAGAACAGTAAATAGTAACTTTGGGCCATTCATTTTCTCTCAGCACAACCAATCTCACAGGATTATTGTTGTGAGAGAAAACAAGGAAGAGAAGGAAGGATTAGGTATGCTTGCAGCTTTGAATTATCAATAAAATACCTGTTCCATATACTCAATATGTCACTTCTACTATAAAGATTGTTAAAATGCTATACACTAATCTTAACTTTATCCTATCAAGAAAACCATGCCAGGAATGGGAAATTTATTGAATGCTTTGGATGTAATTAGATTAACTAGTCCAAGACCATTTAAATTGATGTAAATTTAAAATTAGTTCAAATTTAGTATTTGTTCTTAATTATCATTGGACTGCAAGAACCCCTGCATGCCAGTCAAAAGCAAAATGTAACGCTTAGTTCAAAGAAAAATGGATAACCCAACTCTAGAGCTGTGAAGATTTCTTGCTTTTACCTGACTGACCAATTTGCTTCAAAAAGCATTAAACACTTTCTTCATTGTTCCCAACTTACTTCGTTGGAGGTCCACATTGGGCAAAGGGCGGCCATCATATCTTCCATCTCTTTGATTACTCAGTCCATCCTTGTCTCGACCTGGCGAGTTCTGCTGACGAGAAAGCCCATCCATATCTAAGGCGTGTGAATGGGCTGAAGCTGCAGATCCCAGTTTTGATGTAAGTAGGTCTCCGCTCCCTCTTTTCAGGTAAGATGCTGGGGCCCAGCCCTCCTGACCCTGATATCTAAAGAAATAGAAATCATCTGATCTCTTGTCTAATTAGATCAGCTTTATTCATTAGCCTATAGGCCACATCAATGTACAAGGTTCAAACACATATTAGCAATAAAATCCTATACAAACAATTTAAAATAAGAGTGGGGTAAAATACAACCGTTATAGGATAAAAATCCATAATATGTAAAATAGAACAAAATGACATAAAATTCTATTTCAGTGTCACCCTTGCAATCCACCCCAATCAGGCCCACATATGCCAATCTGAATCAGACCATTTTAGTAAGAAACTGTTATATTAAATGTTGTTTTCAAATTCTGATCACACATGAGTTATGTTGTTTTAATATAGGCCTCCCACTGGGCCATACGTTCAATGCATGGATCAAGGTACTTATCTCTCGCCCCCTTATATAGACATTAATTGAATATTGTATGAGTCAGGTCTTTTATATCTTCAGCTCTGCAAATACACGTACATTCAGAATCTCCCAAAGCTAACCATTCATCTTGTCTAATTGTTTTACTATGGTCATGTTGCGGCCTGGCAGGAGCCGTTGGAGCTGCCACCAGACTCCGACAGTGAGGGGTCCTATGAGTCGGCCCTGGAGGATATGGAGAACCCTGGACAGGGTTCCGACTCTGAGCAGGGCACAGAGAGACTGGTTGGCCACCAGGTGGCACCTGAGCCTTGGATCAGTGGAGAGGAGACAAGGGAGAGTGATCCGGAAGCCAGCAGTGAATTGTTCCGGGATGCACGCCGTTGAAGGGCTACTCGGCATCAAGAACAACTATGTAATTACAGGAGGTAATTACGCTCAGCTGATGGTCATTCCGCTCCTCTCCAGACTATAAATGAGACTGCTTGTGCCACGCCCTCCTTGCAGAAGTCAACACTTGAACT